GGATTTGTCAAACAATGACTCAGACCTTGACTTCCGCAAATGACATCAACACACTACAAAACTTGCACTTGTGTGCAGCGTGTGCAGAGATGACGAGAAAACGTATGTTCATTTCGAACCACAAACCTCAACCTGTTGTCTGAGTGGTTGACGTTGCGTACTGCCGCCAATCGTGTCTGAACTGGCCAGTGTGTGCCCTGCTGGGCAGCTATCCCCAGAGGACCTGTATGGTTCCTGCATGGAACGAGAAGCCGAGGACAAACAGAACACTCTATGGCAGTCTGCTGATGAGAGAGAGAAGAGAAACTGTGAATTGATGGGTTCAGATTGTCAGTCTCAGTGAGGACCAGACACCTCAGAGTGTGTTTCCAGAGGATCAGGAATGAGACACGACACGAACCAATACTCAGAGCACTACAATGAGTCAGCACACAGACGTGCAATTGAGCTATAAAAAAAGCGTCGTTCTCAGGAAGCCAAGAGAAAAAGTGTACATTCTGTATGCAAGGGTTGGAGTATGGGATTTTGTATAGTAATGTTACAGATAGGGATGAGGACACGACAACTACACACACACAGACATACAATGCTCAGAACATGGTAGCTCTGGCTTTTCACTTTCGTAAAAGTGCTGCATTCTCACGAAAACAAGAGAAAAAGTAAGTCGTATGGACGGGTGAGTAGGAACTGGAGTGTTTCCCATAATGATACACTGTGTATTATACCTAGCTGATTTGATTTTTTAGTGTAAATTCATGGTAGTATCATAAGAGTGCGAGACAACGGGAACCTAGACATTAGACGGATCAGACCCTACATTAATATAACACAAAATTTTGCTGAATCCACATGTGTATTATTCAATTGCATCACAGTGTATGTACTAGTGACATGTGTGCACTACCAAAGTGCTTTGACAGCTACAGTCGTAGTCAGAGCACTTGGCTACACCACTGCCCCGATGGTTGGGAAGGAAATGCCCAAATGAGCTGACTAGCTCTAGACAACAACTGTGTATGCATACCTTGGTGGTGGCCTGGTGGACATCAGCACCAGCCTCTAGCAGAAGTGTCCACGTACATCAGAGTGTCCTTCATGACTGCATAAAGAGTGGACTGGCACCATCCTGTACAGTGAGAGAGTATGAAGTGGGGTTTACTTCCAGTCTGGAACATGTAGCTACAAACAGAGTTTGCTGACATCTATGGTAGTTTGCCTAGCAACCAAACACTATAATTTCAGGCCATGGGAAGGGTGTGCAAAATAAGACCATGATGAAAGGGGATCACCGGCTAGCAAAGGTGTTGATTGTTGGCCCATGTATCTCACGAATGGAAAGGTAATGTAACATACATACACTTCCATGAAACTTTCGTTGTACTTGTCTATATACAGCTTCTAGCGAGACTCTCTACTGCAGACACACACATTAACAACCCTACACTATCTCCTGAATGATTAAACTGTGTATTATACCTAGCTGATAGTAGAGTGAGACAACGGGAAACTAGACCATTATTGTGGGATCAGACACTACATATACACAATAAATTCTTGCATGCACATGTGTATTATGCAAATTGCATCGCAGGTGTACCATTTTAGTGACATGTGTTGCACTAACAAAGTGCTTGACAGCTTTGTTGTACATACAATCTCAGTGTTGAGGTCTAGTCAGAGCTCTTGGCTACACCACTGCCACCATGGTTGGTGGACAAATGAGCTGACTAGCTCTAGAACAACTGTGTATCATACCTTGGTGTGGCCTGGTGGACATCAGCACCAGCCTCTAGCAGAATGTCCACTACATCAGAGTGTCCTCTTGACTGGCAGATAGAGTGGACTGCCACCATCCTGTACAGTGAGAGAGTAGGAAGTGGGGTTTACTTCCAGTCTGGAACATGTAATTACGTACCAACAGTGTTTGCTGACATGCATGGCTATTTGTAGCCATTGCCTAGAAATAGCACTAATTTCAGACAACTGGAGGGTGTGGAAAGTAAGCCATGATAAAAGGGGATCACCAGTTAGCAAAGTTGTTACATTCCCTTGACTGGGGTGCATATTCAGCTCTGAGGCTTGTGCAGATATCATGTTACATCCAAGGCGCCTTGTATGAAACTTCCCGCATTTCTATGGCTAGTCTCAGCCTCACTACTCCATTGACAACCCAACAGCGCTGAGTACACAATCTGTATGAGGCTAGTAGTAAAATTATTATGGCTCTGGTCTCAGCCACTGCACAATAATCCTACGATCATTCTGGATCATATATATTTACACTGTGTATGCCTGAAAGTTTTAGTCCACAGCAATCGACAGGAGTTTTTAGGTCAACAGTTGAGACATGTACAATACCTTCTCACAGATATGGGGAGGTAATGCGAGAGTTAAACCACACAATCGCGACACGCGGCGATTGTAAATTTTAACTCCATTTTGTTCATTCAAGTTAAGTAAAACTTTACAGTATATGTGTGAGCCCGGAGCCCGGTCCATTAACTGAAAAACTATCAGTTGTTGTGGAAGGATTTGTCAAAACAATCACTCAGACACTGACTTCCTGCATGACATCAACACACAAAACTGGCACTTGTGCACATGCCGTGTGCAGAGATGCACGTAGGAAAAGTATGTTGATTTTGACAACCAAAAACCTCAACCTTGTTCTGGTGGTTGACGTTGGCTCCTGCCTTCAACAGTCTCTGAACTGTCTCAGTATGTCCATTCTGGGCAGCTATCCCCAGAGGAACATCACCACCCTGATGAGAGAGAGAAACTGTGAATTGTAGAGTTCAGCATTGGCAGGTCAGTGAGGACCAGACACCTCAGAGTGTGTTTCAGAGGATCAGGGAATGAGACACGACACTAACCAATACTCAGATGTGAATTGTATTTTTTCCACTTCTGCGCACAATTATCAAAATCCTCACATACCTGATTGTAGCCTGATTGACATCAGCTCCTGCTTTCACCAGAACATCCACCACCTCAGTGTGTCCATTACAACTGGCAACATAGAGCGGACTGTGACCATCCTGTACAGTGAGAGAGAACTAATGAGACATTCCTGATTCACTACTGACCACTCATCTCCCTCCCTGGACACCAGGAGACCTGACAACCATCTCAGTCAGGTCTCCTCCTCATCCAACCTTCACAAGTCTATAGTCTACACTTCTCACTATAGGCTAAGACTGTATAATACTGAGAGGTCTCTGACTATCATGGTATAGAATATATACCTCACTGCAGATGCTGACATCAGCTCCATTCTCTAGTAGCAGCTCCACTACTGCTCTGTGACCATAGAATGAAGCCATGTACAGTGGAGTCTTGCGACACTGTGTATATACAGACAATTGGAACAGGCAACAATACAATAGAACATGACATGGACTCCAAACCTTGTCAGGAATGAAGACTGCAGCCCCAGCCTTGAGCAACAGACGTACAACCTCAACATGACCTAGGTAAGAGGCTAACAGTAGAGCAGTGTCTCCTTCCTGCAAGTGGTGGGGATACAGAGACCAGTGGAGCAGCAGTCAATGAACTGAGTCAGAAATGAGACTACACATTCACTAGTAGAGAGCCCTCACATCCTCAGTCCTGGAGTTGATATTGACAGAAGTGGAGAGGAGTCTCTCAACTGCCTTCACATCTCCTCTCTCAGCAGCATCGTGGAGCTCTGTTCTTCCCTGGGTATAGATACACGGATAATTAGAAGAGTCAAGCAAAATTGTGTTAGGGTTAAACCTACATCAAAAGGTAGCGCACCAAGACTCCCACTGTAGACTGCAGTATGCTTTAGTTGGCCCAGACTGCGGCAGAGCTGGGCAGCTGTTGGTCTGTCTTTACTTTTGTCTTTGAGGCAGTCCCTAATGACTGGAAGAAAACCATGGGAAACTAGGACTTTGTCAAGATCCACTTTTCTTCGGTTAATCTCGGAAACCGGAATGTAGCTTTCTTCCGTGGGGGAGTTTGGATCTTCCCTTACAACAGAAGCGGCAGTGGGAGCAGGGAACTTTCTGGTGACAATCTGGAGAAGGAGAACTCCAATGGAGAAAGTGTCGATCTTGTCGGAGTAGCGAGGCTGGGGACGAAGGGCCTCTGGTGGCATGTAGACCAGTGTTCCTGGACACTGGGTCACCTTACTGCGGGTCATGGAGGGATTGGAGGCTGCGATCTTGGACATGCCAAAGTCGGTCACCTTGGCCAGGTGGCTGGCATTCAGGAGGATGTTGTTGCTGGACAGGTCTCGATGGAGGATGCCATTCCTGTGCAGGTGAGCCACTGCTAGAGCTATGTCGTGGGAGATGTTCGCTTGGACGTGGTAGGGTATGTCGGTTGGCGAGCTCTCCAGAAAGTGCGTCAGACTGTCTTTCATCAGCTCCATGAGGAGAATGGGCTTGTTGGTGGTGGGGTCTTGGACCACACCCAGGAACTGGACTATGTTGGGGTGTTTCAGGTCTCGCAAGATCTGGCACTCCTGCTCAAATCGAGAGATGAAGTCAGAGAGTCCAGGGTCCTGGGAGTCCACGATGACTCGATGGAGGATTTTAGCAGCACATGACTTTTTATCCAGTGTTGCCTTCACCACATTGCCGTAGGATCCAGAGCCCAGGACCTGGGCTGTGTGGATCACCACATTCTGATAGCCATACAGACCTATGAGATTTAGTGATATGTCGTTGGGGTCACCGGTCTAGTGAAGGAAGAAGGTGTAAAAGGACTGCAGTTACTAATGATTATTTTTGCACCAGGTGAAGCTGCGATACGGAGTAATTCGCATCTTGTTTTATGGAAGGGCATGTTCTATAATACACTGAGCACATCGACCAGGCGAATTGACTTCTTTTGCTACACTTTAGACCTTGCATGGCAGTACTAACCCCTTTCACACGCCAGGTTTTCTTTATTTGCTGAAAAATAGCACTACATGTACATATTCCAGCTGACTAGCCTTACAGGTAAAGGACCTTACAATTCTTACCAACCTGCAGATAAAACCTGTGCTTGAGAAGTGTATGTAGGTAACAAAAACTCTACACAACTAAAGACGATTAATTAACGGGCTGCTCTGGCTAGTTCACCGACGTATGACACACTTTTCATAGTTACTACCAGCATATACCAGTAGTGAAGAGATCGTGTTTCCCATTGCGTGCGGCGACTCGAGAGTTCTTTCACTGGGCGCCACCCACGAAAAAGGGCGTTCCTCGACCGATCCCGCCGGCACGCCCCCCAACAAACTCACTGCATGACCACGCGCAAAAATCGACATTGGTTTGGGCTACAACACAAATACATACATAGTTACAAAGTAGGTACTGAGCAGACATTTTATACTTCTCCGTGACTTTTAGCTATGGCTTTGTTTGTCCATCCTGCATTGTGAGATGTTCAGCGAAAGGTGTGCAGAGAAGTTTAATTCTTGAATGCATGCAGAAGAGCTACGGCGACCTATATCTAGTGTACAGTGGTACACGAGCAATCATACAGGGTTTCTCTGTAAAATTAATTAGCCTGCTGAAATGACTATTAAGAAGAAGGAGGTGGTGTATGTTTCAACAGGCCTATTTTTTGGTTCTCTCAGAAAATCACAAGTGATCGAGTAGGAAATGGTTGTTAGTGTATAGCTAAAGAGACTTGACATGAGTCCAACTCATAGAGTCACCATCTGTGTGGCAAATACGACCATCTTGCTACTCTCTCTCGCGTAGTGCGAAAAGCCAAGACGCAGAGAGTTGTAGCTAAGCCAGCCAGCTAATACTCTAGCTAACTGTCAGCATGCAACTATTTTCTGTCAAACATAATTTCGAAGTTTCACTTCGATGGATTTAACCATGATACAATACTATAGCTACTTTTCTGACAGATGCAATTCTAGCCATAGTTATCCAATAATGTTCCCACTGCACGCAGAGCTCTAGAGATTACGAGGATGCTAACATTGGTATCAGAAAGCTTGAACACGAGACCTTGGAGCTGGGGTCTGAAATTGTATATACATCTGAGGAGAAATGCTGAGGAGAAAGAGCGAGAGCTTTCAGGAATGCGAGAGCAAGGTCCACAAGCGGTAAAAGACCAACTGTGTGCACTAGACTGATGGAAGAGAATAAGCAACTGAAGGCAGGGATGTATTCAGCTGGAGAACTTCATAGGTATGAGGTAAATAATTAATACAACTTGTAATTTTGGCTACTTTTTCAGAAATTCTTTTTCAGAATATAAGCCCCCATGAGGTTATGAATCTCACTAGGCCCACTATGAATTTTTAATACGCTTAGATGTTCATAAACAATAGATAGGTGCCATCCCTGGGTAGCTAACTCCCTTTTTAACACAAACTAATCTTTCCTCTAGGACAAGTAACTTTCCTGGCTAGCTGGACTCGTTCTGAACCTCCTGTCAACACAGGGACGACCACTAGAGGCTGCAACTCTCAAAGGGCTGCTCAGAACTCCCACCACCTCTGCCAAAGCCGAGTATTTCCTGCGCTACACGGTGGTCAGGGACCTCGTGGCTCAGATACAGTCTCCCAATCCTGCCAGTGTTCTCGGGGATGTCCACCCATTCCTGGTGGAGTCCAGCACCCACTTCAGTCACATGGTAGAGAAACAATGCCTGTCTCCAGGGAACGCCATTCCTGTCCCACCTTTCTTTGATGATGAGGTCATTGCCACATGTGGGAACTGAACAATATTCATTACCTTTGTATTTACACATCATTCATGAGAGATTAATGCTAGACCAGTTCTGCGCATGTGTCTTGTCTCGCATGTGCACTGGTTATTGATGTTTATTGATGTGCAATTGTATTCTTTGTGGATTATGTTCAGGTGGAGTGGAAGTATAACCACCATTTCCTGGAGGCCCTAGTAAAGATATCATAAGAGCAGGTAGCTAAGTGTTGTCAACTAATAACTAACCACTTCTAGTATATACACGTACATACTGGTAAACTCCTAATGTTCAATGGGGGACCTGGATAGTATAATGACTCCCATGTTTCCCTCTTTGACCAAACACCAACAGTCCTAAACGTAGAAATAGGCTGTGTCGCTGCATCGATTGGAGGTTTTGGCTAAAGGCAAGGAAAGACATTATACAGTAGTTGAATGTGTTTCAGCTTATAGCTACACACAAGCGTTGAGAGATTTCCACCAGCTGAATTTCCTTCTGAGATAATAAACTAATATCAAACTTGGCCCTATGCTCTTGTGAAACCTGTTCTGTGCATGCATTAGCCATTGGCATCAGGTTCTTTCACGACGTGCTTTATCTAACTAACTCACTGCAAATTTGTTCTAATATGCCAACTTCCCAACTCCACCAGTTAGACAAAGAGGCAAAGAGGCCTCGCCCCGATATCCTGCTGGGCTGGCCCTTGCATTCCGGGAAGAGTATATATGCACCCACCCATTGTTGCAATAGTATAACCACAATGTCACGTCATGTGCTTCAGAATCATTCCATATCCTGCATCAGCTAATGAGAATTGGGCCTGGGCTACGGATATACCCCCTGTTCGCATTCACAAATTAATTTGTTACTGGATGTGCCACTGATGCTAGAGTGAGGCAGGTGCCATGTGGATTAGAAAGAGAAAGGTCTTGTGAAGAAGCCCATCAGACACTCACGCAGCAACACTGCATACTCAGATCGCTGCTTACTTGGGGTTACTGGAACAGACACATCAACGTAGCATAGCTGCTTCATGTTCAGTAGCAACACAAGCGTTGAGACATTTCCACCAGATGAATTTCCTTCTGAGACGCTGATAAACTACTTATACTTTTGCCCCAAGCTCTTGTGAAACCAGTTCTGTGCATGCATTAGCCATTGGCATCAGGTTCTTTCATGACTATGGGTCTTCATGGATATTATAAGAGATGAGGGAATTTTGTAGTAGGTTGTGAAACGTTGCATCTACATTAGGCTTGAGATAATTATGCTGGAATAATTTCGAGAATAATAGCAGCGCAAAAAGCAGCAAGCATAATTCCAGCATAATAACATGCGAACGCACAACCACGCCTACTTTTAATTATGCGGCCGCAGTTTTCTACGTCGAGATGTCGTCATCCTCCAGGTCGGTCGAGCATGCAGCAGTGCGAGTACGATGTCGAGCCGTGCGAGGATGGGTCAGGCTCTTCTGTTCTGTTCTGAGCTGTTCCTTTGGAGTGCAACAGGACTTAACATTGCAAGAATGTTCTCTCATGTTGCAGTACAACACTAGGTAGTTATATAGATCACGCTGTTGTAAGTAATTTTTGATGAGGTTTTTTGAGCATAATTTGGAATAATAGCAGCAAACTGTAAGAATTGTAGCATCAAAATATGAGCATTAAAATAGCAAACAATAAGTGGCATAATTATCTCAAGCCTAATCTACATACATAGCTACACAGTATTTTAAGCAGCCTAAACATTAATTAAAAAGAGTCAAAAATATGTAAAAAGATATGCAGTGTAATAACTATGTTCTTGTAACAGTGCTAGAGTGTCTACTTTGAACTTTGGCTTGTGTTGCAGTAGATACTGTACCACATTATTCTGGTTGTTGGCTCTGGCCACGCTCAGAGCAGTGTTTCCATACTGTAGAGACAAATAGACGTACATTAGACGTGTGTCAGATTAATATGCATGAAGACCTCCCATTACTATGATTGGCAAACAGAAGAGAACAGTTCGGTAGTACCCAGCCCCATAGTGTGATATTGCATGAACAGTGTCACACCTCTTTATTGCGTGCAATGGTAAATTACTGTGCTTTTGTAACACCAATGTGCATTTTTCTTCATAAAACTACAGAACATTTGGTTAAGTACTGCCTCCTGAGCTGCCCCATAGCCAGAGAACAGAGTGTCGTTGGTTCAAGTCCCACCCGGGATAGCTCTCTTTCCTCTGAAAAAGTCTTAATATAGGTTATACTGCGCGTCAATGGAAATACGCAATTTAGACGGCACGAGGGGCCCTGAGCTGTAGCTGTCTGAGCGCAGCGAAGACGCTACTAAGGGCTCCGAGGCCGTCTAAATTGCGTATTTCCATTGACGCGCAGTATAACCTGTTTAGACGGAGGCCGTGCCGGCCTTCAAAATCGTCCAGGTCTGCCGTCTTCCGAAAGAGCCGGGGGAAGCTAAAAGGTCTTCAGTTAGTTTCTTTTTGCATCGTAGAGAGGCCTTTCATCGAAGAGAAGCATCGGATATAGCGAGTTTGAAGTCGTCGCGGCGAGCTCTCAGCGACAGAGCGAGTTTCTTTGCGCGGAAGCTTGCCACCACCCCCATCGAAGACGCATTTTTTGGCGGGCGTCTCCATGGAACACGCACTTGGAAAATACGGGATTTAGAATCCACGTTTTACGCAATTTGATTGGTCAATTTGAATCTGCCGACGTCTAAAAATAGTTTGACAAACACTTGTGTCTATGCAGGGGCGGATCCAGGATTTTGTTTGGGAGGGGGCAACGGCTGCACATGCGCAAAGATCCTGTCGCGCATTCCCATTCTTCCTGTCTATAGGTCTCAGATCCTTACTTCTCTTTTTACCGGAACCACATTCGTCGAGATTTCCACTAGAGTGTTTCATAGCGTAGCACGATTGCGAGAGCTAGAGATGAGAGAGCTAAGCACCCTTTGCGGAACAGGCGTTGGAGCTACAGTAAGGCCCCGTCATGGTAGGCCAAGGAACAACCTGATAGTGCATATGTTGTACAAGCTAGATCCGATCCAGAAGAAACAACGGTTGTTTGCGGTGGACGCGGCCGCTCAGAGTATCGAGAGCGACTCGAGTTCGAGGCGCGCGCGATGTGCGTGACAGATAATAGTCAACAGGGGCGGGGGCCAGGGGAGCATGACGTCATATAGACCAGTTGAGGGGGAGGGCAACTGACCCCCATGCCCCCCTGGATCCGTCCCTGCTATGTACACCCTGTGGTTCATGAGAACACTCTTCCTACACATCATAGTGACTCATAGGTCCACCTTATTAGGAATGTCTCTAGCCCCAGCTCCTAGCAGTAGTTTCACCACCTCTGAGTGACCGTTCCATCCTGCATAGAACAAGGCCGTGCCTCCACTCTGTGTTGATATTATAATAGAGACCATCATAGCGAATACGAAGTGTTTATAACATTATGAAAGAGACAAGCATTGGATCATTATCCAGTGCAATATACAAGTATTAAACTAAACAAAGCGACATTGGCACACTTCCAGAGTAGCTCCTGTTGTCCGGGCTGCCATTGTGACCAAATAACACTTTGCCACCTCTACACATGGCTCCTCCCATCTAATACCCACAGAGTGCTTGGGTAGAGAGGAGGGTGTTGCCCACTCCCTCCTGCCCGAGTACAATCACAGGGACTAAACCCTGGAAGTAATGGAGCCCGGTCCATTAACTGAAATATGTTTCCCTGGGAAACTATCTGTTGTTGTTGAAGGATTTGTCAAACAATCACTCAGACCCTGACTTCCCACATGACATCAACACACACAAAACTGGCACTTGTGTGATGCCATGTGGCAGAGATGCACGTAGGAAAATAGGGTGATTTTGACAACCAAAACCTCAACCTTGTTCTGGTGGTTGACGTTGGTCCTGCCACCAACAGTCTCTGAACTGTCTCAGTATGTCCATCTCGGCAGCTTCCCAGAGGAACAGCACCATCCTGATGAGAGAGAGAAACTGTGAATTGATGAGTTCAGCATTGGCAGGTCAGTGGAGGACCATAATACACCTCAGAGTGTGGTTTCAGAGGATCAGGGGAATGAGACACGACACTAACCAATACTCAGACAATACAATGTGTCAGAACACAGACGTTGCAAATGAGCTATAGAATACAAAGAGTAAGAATGCTGGTTTTCAGGAAAACCAAGAGAAAAAAGTGTAAATTTCTGTATAAAGGGTGAGTTATGGGATGTAGTAATGTTACAGGATAGGGAATGAGACACGACACTAACAAACACACAGACATACAATGAATCAGAACATGTAGCTATGGCTTTTTCACTTTCGTAAAAGTGCTGCGTTCTCCACGAAAACCAGAGAGTTCTGTATGAAGGGTGAGTATGGGATGTAAGTGTTTCCTAAACAATGTTAGCTACACTGTGTATTATACTAGCTGATAGTAGAGTGAGACAACGGGAAACTAGACTATTATTATTGTGGGATCAGACACACACATATACTTATACACATAAATTCTTTCATGCACATGCGTACTATTCAAATTGCATCGCAGGTTTACACATGTTTTAGTGACATGTGTTGCACTAACAAAAGTGCTTGACAGCTTTGTTGTACATACCAATCTCAGTGTTGAGGTCTAGTCAGAGCTCTTGGCTACACCACTGCCACCATGGTTGGTGGACAAATGAGCTGACTAGCTCTAGAACAACTGTGTATCATACCTTGGTGGTGGCCTGGTGGACATCAGCACCAGCCTCTAGCAGAATGTCCACTACATCAGAGTGTCCATTATAACTGGCAGCATAGAGTGGACTGGCACCATTCTGTACAGTGAGAGAGTAGGAAGTGGGGTTTACTTCCAGTCTGGAACATGTAATTACATACCAACAGTGTTTGCTGACATGCATGGCTATTTGTTAGCCATTGCCTAGAAATCAATGCACTAATTTCAGACAACTGGAGGGTGAGGAAAGTAAGGCCATGATAAAAGGGGATCACCAGTTAGCAAAGTTGTCAGTCTACTTTATAACAATATTAATATGAATGTGGGGATCGAGTTAATGCGAGAGTTATATACACACAAGCGCGACACGCGAAGATTGCATATTTTAACTCCATTTCGTCCATTTCAAATTAGTAAAACTTTACTATGTGTGACAGTAGCTTCCCATAAGCTGGATTCAAAAGAAGGCTCACTTGG